ACAATCTAAGCTGCATGTTTATTTCTTCACCACAATTTATTTCTTGGGATTTGCAGACTTGTGCCTTAAGTTCAGTTAGCACACAAAACCTGTCTTTTCAGACCTGTTTTCATCGACCTAAAAGAGCACAAATCCCAGACAGAGAAGCAATCAGAAAAACCAGTTGAGACAGCATGGATGTGCCCTCAATGGCCGGAAACAAGATGGATAAGCAATCCTTGAGCTCAAGGCACTGAAAGCTTAGGGCAGGTCTCCCAAAGACAAGAATGGAAACCTCCCTGCCTCCAAAACAACTCTGCACCTCCTCAGCCTCTCTGACCACAGTCCCATGGCAGTGAGCCTACCTGCACTCTGCTGAGACTTGACGAGTCGTGTCGCCCTCTCAATGCACACAATGAGGCACCCAGTCACCTTAGGGTCCAGGGTGCCACTGTGCCCTGTCTTCTCTACTCGAAGGATGCGTCGGATCCATGCCACCACCTCATGGGAAGATGGATTGGAAGGCTTGTCCAGGTTGATGAAGCCAGACCTACAGAGTGAGATGACAGATTAAGAGCTACACGCTGGGGCTAACAACGGTAATGTGCAAAACAGGATGAGATCTGTCATGGTAAGATTGAGACATTCCTGAATAAACAGCTAGACAGGAGCTGAGCCACAGAGCTGCTCCACAGAGCACACAAGGAGCTGTTCTGCACTGCAGCTCACATGCCCCATGATTAAACAGTACTCTCCAGAATGCTACCACTGCTCAGTGTAAAATGCTGCAGCCGTGCTCCAAGCAGACCCAAAGCCCCACGCAGACTGAATGGCTCTCCAGAGAAGCACCAGGTCTCCCCTGGTGTACATCTACCTGCAGAGAAGCCACAAAACCAAACCAAAGCCACCCCCAAAGAAAATGGCCAGCAGGTCCCAGGCAGACATCCACTGGTGAGCAGCAAGATGGAGTCGAGAGAAAAGAAAAAGGAAACTGGAACAGAATGTGCTTGTGAGATGCTAACTGTGGAAGTGAAATAAGACACTCTGAATTGTTACACTCACCGTACATAGTCAGAGATCTCCCTCTTCAAGGGATTAGCACCGGAAGGGAGGGGTGTGTAGTGTGTTGTCAGCACGTTTAGCTTGTCAAAGTTCTACAAAAGCAAAGCAAATAAATGACTGTAAGTACCATGAGATGGAGGTGAGACCGAGGACAGCAGCTTTGCCTCAGCACAGCTCCAAGTTGCACAGGGGATGCTTTGCATTCAGGTTAATGATCTTCTCTGACTAAAACCGCAAAGATGAGGGGCAGAGAAAGGAACAACACAAATAAACCCAGCAGAGCCTCGCTGCTTTCAGGTCACGGAGCAGAAACCCGAACGAAACCCAACAAGAAAGACGGGAGTCACCGCCCCTCCGTGCTCGTTACCTTCAGCAGCAGCGGCCACTGGGACGTGTCCAGCTGCGCCACACGGGACTCGGGCTTGATGAGGAACTCCTCGGTGTGCTGGATGTCCTGCGGAGCACAACGAGGGCTCAGTGTGTGCCGCGCGGTTTCGCTCACACCGCCCATCCCCCCCTTCTTTGCCCGCCCCCCGCTCCCGGGGCGGCCGCACGGTGCCGGGCGGGACACGTGGAGCCCATCGCGGCCCTCCGCCAGCCCCGCGCCGCCCTCACCGCCACATCCTCGTCGGGCAGCGATCGCTTGTCCTTCTTCCGCCGTTTCTTCACGGAAGAACCTACGAGAGAGACGCGTTTAGCGGCCCGCTGGTCCGATAAGGCGCCTTCCAGGCCAGCCCCGCCGCCGGGCACCCCCCCACGGATCGCCACGCGGCCGCAAGTCGCACGCAGGATCCGTCGGCCCCCTCCCGTCCCACTCCGATCTCCCTTCCGCCGCCCCGCCGCGCACCGTCCCCGTCCGCCATGGCCACGCCGCGTGGTGCCGCCGCCGCGCCGAGAGCGGAAAGGCCGCCCCTTCCCGACAGCCCCCGCGTCACCACGTGACACCAGGTAGGCGGAGCCACAGCTATCCCGCCATGCGTGACCACGCCCTCGATGGCCCCGCCCACTCCACGGCCCCGCCCCGCGCCCCACGAACCAATCGCTGCAGCCAGGGAGCGCGCTAGCACCGCAGCTTTATTTCAGACGCTGAGCTCGACGGTAACACGGCATTACGCTCCCCGCCGGCGGGGCCACGCGACCCGAGCTCGTCCCGCCGGCAGCTCCCCGCGCACGCGAATTCCGCAGTCCTGAGGCAGCAGGGACCGTCCGGGCACAGTCCAGTGACAGTCCGAGCGGCTTTCAGAGCCCGTGTCCCGCGGGGCTGAGCATGTCCTGCAGCACCAGGTGCAGCAGGTGGTTCTGCTCGGCGCTCAACAGCGGCCACAGCTCGGCCTGCAGAGCCCGCAGCGCGGCCGCGTCCTTCTCCTGGCAGGCCAGTACGGCGGACTGCAGCAGCAGGAAGAGCTCTGAGGGCAGGTAGCTGGCGGCCGCAGGCAGCCCTCCTCCCGCCGTGCCGCCCTCGGGCGCCTCCCAGCAGTACTGCTCCAGCGTGCGGGCGTGCTCGGGCGGCAGCTTGCCGGGCGGCGGCTGCAGGAGAAGCAGCAGCAGCACCCGCGACACCTCGCAGCTCACCAGCGCGTCCAGGAAGGCTCCGCCGGGCGCGGCCCCGCCGCTCCCCCCGATCCCGGCTCCAGCCAACGCCTGCGCCCGCGTCAGCGCCGCCAGAGCCCCGGAGTAGTCACGGCCCAGCAGCAGGCAGGAGGCGCGCTCCGTCAAGCAGCGCAGCGCCTCCAGGGGCAGCTTAGCGGCCGCCAGGAGCTCGGCAGCCCTCTGGAAGTGCGCGGCGGCACGGGCGGGCCGGCCCGTATCGCGCAGCGCTGCCGCCAGCTCTAGGCAGAGCCCAGCCGCCAATGCCGGCTGCCCCCGCTCCAGGTGCAGGCGGGCGGCGAAGGCCCCACAGCTCTGCGCCGCCGCCAGGTGCTCGCCGAAACCGCCGCGCAGGGCCAGGCGCTGCCGCAGGTCCCGCTCCTGGCGCAGGAAGAGCCGCGCCGCTTCGCCCAGCGCCGCCGCCTCGGCGGGGCCGTGGAAGAGGCTCTGCGCGCAGCGCGCCACCGCCAGCTGGCACCAGGCCGCGTAGGGCAGGCTCTCCTGGGCACGCAACTCCCGCGCCAGCGCCGCAAACTGCTCCGCAGCCTCCGCCACGTTCGGTTTCCGCAGAAAACGCCGCCGCAGCTTGGCGGACACCAGCCGGTACCGCGACAGGAAGTCTCCATCCCCGCCGCCGGGGCCCGGCCCGGGCCCGGAGCCGCCCGCCCCACCGGGCCCCGAGCCACCCGCCGCCGCCAGCATCGCGCGTCGCCAGGAAGTGGCGCAATCACGTCGCGTCCCCCTTGGAGCCTTATTCCGCTGACCAATCAGCATCCACTACCGGGTCAGGCGAGGAGGGGCGCAGATGGGGGTGTGGCCTAGAAGCAGCTCCGCCCATCTACGGGGCGTGGTCACATCTTGTAGGCCCCGCCCCCCGGCCGGCGGGCAACCCGGCGCTCGGTGCAGCCCGGTACTCTGCGGCTGCCCGGCAGCAGCGGTCCCGAGGGCGCGCAGGCCGGCCCTACGGCAGGGCTGGCTCCTCCCTGTCCCCAGACGCTATGCTAAACAGGAGGTGCTCAACTTTCTGCCCCGTTGAACCCACTCGGAGTGCCGTGCGGATGCTGCACCGTGGGAACTTCCCTGCGTGGGTAAAAGTTCGGTCCCAAAGGGCGGTGCAGGTGTTGAGGTCTGAGAGCGAAGCTCACGCTCGGTATTTCGCACGGGTGGTGAAGTTCAGTGCATGCAATGGGCACCCCCGGAATTCTAAGAAAACCCCTGTCTGACCTATTGACTCTCAGAGCGTTCCACAAAGCTGCTGACTGAAACTGCAAGGTGGATAATGTAACTCATCCCTCTGCAGCACAAAATCCCCCAGGCTGGCAGTGCTGTGGCGTAGCGCTGATCCGCCTCCCCCCCAAACACCCACCGTGTGCAGGCAGCGCTCTTCCTGCACTCAAAACCGCAGAGAGCCCACGGGATGGCAGTGTGCAGTCGGGCTGCTGCCACCCAGCAGTGCGTTGGTCTCAGGAAGGCTGTCCTCCTCACAAGCCGTGCCTCGCTTCTCCTCCTGCTGCTCTCTGGCTGCTGCACAAGGTGGCAGAAACCAGGAGTCTGCTGCTTGCTGCTCTGTCCTTAAGCACTGCCAGGAGCAGATGTGCTCTGTGCCTCCGTGGGTGCAGGTACCCAGAGGTACGCGTTGCAGAGTGACTGACACCAGCGAGCTGATGCTGTAGAAATGCCCTTGAAGATCCCCAGGCTTTCTCTAGTCACAGCTATTTCCTCTGCTCTCTGTCTGACAGGTTGGGTTTATCTTTTAGATCGACTCAGCGAGGGCAGGAGGTGAGGCTGAGCCAGCACGACTTACCGAGACGAGGAGAAAATGGGCTCGGTGGCCTCTACTTTCCTCTCATCAAGCTCTGAGATTTCCGTGGATGGAACAAGGCACCTCCTGGCACATTTCCTATCCTGCCCACACATTGCTGAAGTTTGTGTTCTGTTGGGGTCGGATGTTGGTGCCAGGTACCCAAGGAGCATAGCCATGGGTTCAAATCTGAGCCTTCTTTCCTTCTGCCCTCTCACCCCCCTTCCGCTGGGCATTTTCACGCCTCCTGCACCATCAGCCTATTTGTGTCCTGTGTACCTGGGTGCACTGCAGAACTTACCTCCTGCACAACCCCCTCCACAAGGGCCAGGAGGGGAAAACCAGGCAAGCCCCTGTGGGAGGGAAGTGAGGTGGGAGGTGTCATCACCAGCCAAGGGCTTATAGGGGCCACGAGGAACAGGAACTTCTGTCACAGCCGGTGCAGGAGCTGAGGAGTGCCAGGTGAGGTGGGCAGATCAGGGTCAGGGCTGCCAGCTGGTGGGGGGCCGTGCTCAGAGCTGAAAGGAAGAGCCTGGGGCTGTGCAGGATTGTGGCATGGGATCATTTGCAGGTGGTGGCCATGTTGCTGTGCCATACAGACACACAACGCGTGCTGCAGGGCTACCTTTACATGCAAACTGTGCTGTCTGTGTGCACAGGGGCTGTGCTGGCCCTTGCGAAGTGTATGCAGAGCACTGTGATGGGTGTCAGGCAGAGCACGCTGCTCTCAAACCATCAGGTGCTCGGTGGCAACGCTGCTATGCAGTGAGCTGTGAGCGGTGAGTGAGGGGCACTCAGTCTCCTGCGGCTTTTTACCACTGTGAGTTGCAAGCAGCAAGCTCATGGAGCTCTGCAGCCTCCATCCAGGCATGCTGCCCTGCCCTGCTGTCCGGGTAAGCTGGGCAGGTGTGGAGGGAACAGAGAAGGACATTAGAGAAGTTGTGGTATGTGGGAGGAAAGCTGGAGATTTCTGCAGCTCTCCATCACTCAGCATCATGGAAAGTGGAAAGGGGAGGGAGGAATTGGGGCACGCAGGAGCTCATGGGCATGCAAAGGGTTCTGCAGGTGCTGGCAGAGGATGTCCAAGTGCGCAGCGTTGGGTCCCTGGGCTGCACATATCCCAAATTCATATTTGCTGTACCTGTTTTGTCACTTGTGTGAAATCAGAGCTTGGGGTGGGCTGACCCCCACTCCAAACACTGTTAAGCAGCTCACCTCACACACAGCCACAGTCTCATCTGCCCGTTCCCAACCTCCCTCATGGCACAGAGCTGAGAGAAGCTGGGACAGGCAGGAGCGGGCTCTGCTTTGCTGCCGGTGTTTAATGGGCACATCCTCAGTGGACATTTCCCTACAGAGAGCAGGTAGAACATGTTCTTTGCCCAGAGCCATTTTCCCATTGCGTTTGGGGCACTGGGTACCACAGGTGGCTGTGCTCCCTGTGCATCCCAATACCCACATGCCTCCAGCTCGCCCCAATACCCCTTGCAGCTCTCCCTGCACATCTCATTCCAGGTCTGAATGCTTACAATGGACCCTCAGAGCACCCCCCCTCCTGCCATTGAAGTCACTCAGCAGCTCCCGGGTAACTCCTGCTGTCAGATCCACGATGGGTTCCTCTCAGTGACGCTGCCTGTGATGTACTCACTGATCTTTGCCGTTGGGCTGCTCAGCAATGTGCTGGCACTCTGGGTGTTTTCATTCAGCATGCAGCGCCAGACCTCCATCACTGTGTACATGAGGAACCTGGCCCTCTCCGACCTCCTGCTGGCCCTCTGCCTGCCCTTCCGCATCGCCTTCCAGGACAGGAGTGAGCCCCGTGTCTTTTGCAATGTTGTTGGGGCCTTCTTCTACCTCAACATGTATGTCAGCATCACTTTCCTCAGCCTGATCAGCCTGGACCGCTACCTGAAGATCATCCGGCCCCTCCAGAAATACAGGATTCACACCGTATCCTGTAGCACGTTGGCCTCTGGGATGGTTTGGGTGGTGAACTTTGCCTTCATGCTGCCTTTCTTTTTTGAGAAAAGAGGGAAGGGACCCTGTGACCATAAATGCTTCCACTTCAGGAGCAAAAGCACCGTGGCAGCAGCCTTCAACATGGCCGCAGTAGCTGCCTTCTTCATCGTGCTGTTGCTCTTCCTCTACTTCTACAGCAAGATATTTGCCAAACTGCACCAGGTCTCCTCAGTGAAGGCCCAGCAGCTGAACAAGAAGACCAGCACGAGAGCCATCACCAAGACCTTTGTGGTCTTGATCATCTTCATCGTCTGCTTCACCCCCTACCACACTATCCGCATCCCTTACATCCTGGCGCAGATCGGGGCCATTTCCAGCCTGCCCTGGAAGCAAGGTCTGCACTTCACTAACGAGCTCGTGCTCTGCATCTCAGCCCTCAACAGCTGCCTCGACCCCATCATCTTCTTTTTCTTGTCCAGCAGTTTCCGCAGGGCCGTGCTCTGCACCATCCAGGGCAGGCTGAAGGGAGCCCTGCTGAGCAACCAGGGCAGGCTGACCCCCAGCAGGTCTGTGACAGAACTGTAGGGTCAAGGTCCAGAAAATGGGATTTCCTCATTGCGGATTGGCTCTGGCCACTGGTGTTTATGGGACAAGACTTGCTGGGAAGATGGAACCACTCCATGAGACATGGCTTAGAGGGCATGGTGTGATGGGTCAGGGTTGGGCTTGGTGATTCATTGAGGTCTTTTCCAGCCATAATGATTCCATGACTCTACGATTCATGTAATGCCACCAGGGTCAGAACCTCCATGGGAGTAAACAAGGAGGAAAGGACAACTGGGACCTTGCTTGTTCCTACCACAGCTGGCATAGCTGAAGAGCATATTTCCAAGCACAAATGAAGCTGGAAGTGCCACAGGAGATTTGGCCTTGTCCTGGGAACCCCAGGCAGCCCAGAGCAGAGCTGCAGGCAGATGGAGGAGAGGAGAGGAGAGGAGTGAGAAGGGGAATGGGAATCATTACTAAGGACACATCGTCTTCTCACCAAAGAGAGGAAGAAAGGGATGGGACAGGAGAAGGTGCAGTGCAAAAGCATCAGGGAAGGATGAGGAGACATCAAAGCATCACTTGTGGAGCAGGGGAATATTTTGCTCCATGATGCAGCCCAGAGGTGAGCACTGCCAGACTTGCACTACAGACCTGCCAGGAAATGCTGCAGCCCTGCAACCTCAAACCATGTCAGCAACAGCTGTATTCTCTAATTACTGCAGCCTCTGTAACCTCAACTCAGCCCCACATCTCCGTGCACCGAGCTCAGGGTTTCCTTTAGCTCTTTGCCCCTCTCACCAGCACATTTGCAGGGGCTGGCAGCTCTCCTGGGCACAGCACAGCTCGCTTGGGGCCATTGCTTCAGGAAGATTGCAATGGGCAGAGGGGCTACGGTGCCCCCGAGCCCCAACAGGAGCAGCTGGCTCTGAGCTTCGCAGCTCTGCTGTTCTGCAGCAGCTCCGAAAGAGAAACCCACGGGAGATGTGCAAGAGCTGCTGCCTTCATCAGCGCCTGTTCCCTTCCTGCAGAAGATATTTCTCTGTATTTTTATCCTGTTCTATGCCCACACCTCATTTGTTCCCTTATTCTTAGGGCAGTGCAGAGGTGGAGCAGCAGCATGCACTCTCTGTTGGGCAGCAGAGCTGGGCAGTGAGGGGTGAGGGTTCATTAAGACCAAAGTGCCATAGTGACCACAAGACTCCAACACCTGAATAATACTCGGGAGAATAAAATGTTTCCTTAAAGACTGATTGATCTGATTTTTCCAATCAAGGTATGAGCAGCTTCAGTCCTCTTTTCTCTCTGTATGATGAGCAGGAGAGACGGATATTTCACACAGAGGGTGGTGATGCACTGGAACAGGTTGCCCAAGGAGGCTGTGGATGCCCCATCCCTGCAGGCATTCAAGGCCAGGCTGGATGTGGCTCTGGGCAGCCTGGGCTGCTGGTTGGCGACCTGCACACAGCAGGGGTTGGAAATGATGAGCATTGTGCTCCTGTGCAACCCAGGCCAGTCTATGATTCTGTGATGATCTCTCTAGCAGAGGTGGGGGGAAAACACAGCCAGCAAAGCTTTTCCTATGGAAAGCTGCATGCAAAGGTCACAACGCTGTTTTTCTTTTCCGATCAGTGCTGACGAGCTGCAGCAGCGTGTGGTTCAGAAGCCTCAGCACTGCAACAGCGGCGCCTGTGTGCGGTGCTCAGCGTGCACAACGCCCCCCCCCCGCAGCCATCCTCCCCCACAATGGAAGCCGCAGGGCTTGCAGGGCTGCGCTCACCGCTGGGTGCCCCACATCTCACCCCCCCGCCCCATCCCCAGGATGAAGGCGGTGGGATGCAAACCGACATCCTTTTCATTTCTAGCTCAAAGCAGCACAGGGATCGTTATCTCTGGCAGGCAGGAGGTGACGCGCAGCCGCGGGGGCTGTCGGGAAGTGGCGGCGGTTGCGCCGCGCTGTGGCCGCAGTGTGGCCCCGGTGTGATCCCGCTGTGAGCCCAGCGCAGCCCCATGACAGCACACAGCCGCTGCTGCCCTGCACCCATCGGATTCTGCACTGCCATGGCTGCAGCCTGCAGCTTGCCCAGGTGAAAAGCGATTTTTCGTTCCCTTTGCATGTAAGAGGAGCCCCCCCTCCCCCTCCTCACGTTACCCCGGGGCTGTTATTGCCTGGATAAGAATTTTAGCTGATAGATGCTTTAATTAGAGATTATTGTTTATTGTGTAGTTAAACTGGTGATGGATGTGTCACGTGGTGAAGCAAAAAATAAATAAATTCATGCTTCAAGCGTACTTGAGACCGTGTCCTTCTCCATCCTGATCCATTACAGTGTTGGAATATTATGCTGTAAATTATTAGTAGAGTGTTATGTGGTGGTTATGCAAAGCAGCAGCCGTTCTGCTCTGCCTCATTATGGTAACTGGAATGATGCCTATGCAATGTTAATCCCAGGCCTGGGATGTCTTCAGGAGGCTCACATGAGCCCAAATCACTGCACCAGTAGCTCTGGGTCACTGCTGAGAATCTTTGTGCTGGGAAAGCTGAGCGGTCGTGCTCTGATCCATGGGGAATTCACAGCATTCTCTATGACACTCAAATCTGAGGATGGAAAAGACCAGAGAAGCATCACACCTGTTGCTGCTCTATTCCAGGTGCAGTCAGGGCTCACAGCTGTGACGTCTGCTGTGACACCACGGGGTGCACAGTGGGCTGCAGGGCTCTGAGCAGCCCCTCTGCTGCCTGCCATGGCTCTGCCCCATGCATCCATGCTGACTCGCCGGTGCCTCCGCCTGCTGACCCCACAGCCCGTGTTCCTGAGCAGCCTGCCTGGGTGGGACTGCCGACAGCCAACAGGGGAGAGAGCAGCCAAGAGGAGAAGGAGGAAGGATGGGGAGGGCCGCAGCCTGCCAGCATCCTCCTGGGAAGAGAGGTACGGCAGTGGGAGGTGTGTGCTGCGTGTGGTGGGGGAGCATTTGGGTATGGAGGGCTGCCGTTAGGAAGGTCTGTGTGTTGTACACTGCATGCACAGCTCAGCTGTCTGCTGTCAGAACCCTGAGCAATCGTGGTGTTTATTGCCCTCAGCAAGCACCAGCCTGGCTGTGATTGTCAGTGCCAGAGCAAAGGGCTGCACTGAGAGCTTAAAGGTTTCACCTCCATCCGCTTCTCAGGTAGAAATGAGAGTCTCAGCTGTGACAGAAGTAATGGAAAGGGCAAACAAAGAGGTCTAAGCAAGAGGGAAGGAGCTGGGACAGAGCAACTGCCCTGCTGGCAAAGAAGTACTCACCCATGTGATTCACTGTTCTGTGCTTGAAATCAGCTGGTGATTTGGATGCAGCTCCTAAAGCCCCACTAGGGAAGAACAGCAATATATCCAGCTGAGCACGTGATAGACACTTAGGACAGCTTGGATATCCATCTTGCCCCATCCTCCCTTATTTTCATTGCAAGGCAGCTTTGTGTGTTGCATTCCTGCTCTCCTTGGCTTGGATATAAATATCAGTGGGTTCCAAGATTCATCTCCCTCTGCTGCTGGAGGGCTGGCCATGTTCATGAGCCAGTAATTCCCTTATGCAGCGCAGAAACTGCATTGGTCCACACTGAGCTTCATCCCATGCAGCTTTCACAGCAGTGACCAGCAATGCGAGCAGGCAGAGGGTGCAGTGAGCAATGAGAGGAGTGTCTTGTTCTTCTATGGGAAACCTCCAGGGAAACAGGGCTGTTCTTGGCTCTGTCTTCTAATGGGGGCTCATCCAGGACAACGGGGGCCCAGGCTCAGTCTGTCCTGTGCTCGCTGTGGCTCCTGTGTTTGTTGTGGCTCCTGGGTCCTCCCACCCCAAGCAGCTCTGAGCTGTTGTGCTTTCCAGGTTGGCAGATGCAGCGACACCGCTGTGGAGACTTCCATACCAGGAGCAGCTGCAGGTAAGGTGTGCAAAGCTGGAATTTCTCCATCGTGTTGCCCCGGCTGTCCCTTTCCATGCCCTTGAGCAACTGCCCTTAGGATCTGGCACAGCAGCTGGTCCAACTCCACCGAATCATTAGGATTGGAAAAGACCTCAAAGATCACCAAATCTCACCCCAACCCATCCCCACCATGCTCACTGAGCCAAGTCCCTAACCCCCACCCTTTGCTGCCTTCATTCCTGAGTTATTCTAAAGCACAAAAGATGCCCAGGCCCTGCACAGTGCAGGTCGGGTTAATGGAGGCTTCATTGCTCCAACACCCCAGACCCACCCTTGGGGCCACGGTGTCTCCATTGCTGTGTGGTACACAGAGGTTGTGTGGTCCTGTGGGAGTGTTCCTGGCTTTGGACTGCTCTGTAGGTGAAGTATGAGAGCCTGAGGGAGGTTCTGCAGACCCTGACATCACATCTGTTGGAGCTGGGAGGAGGTGTGCAGGATCCCGGAGGGCTCTGCTGTCCCCTGCAGCCCGTGGTCCCCTCGGTGAGTGCCCATGGTTGGTTCCAGAGGAGCTCCCTTGCTGCCTTCTGCTTTGCAGACTGCAGAACAAGAGCTGTATGCTGCACTCATACAAATCTGCACCAGAAGCAGTCACCGCTGTTGCTGTCACTGCTACTGAAGCACAGCAGCCACTGTGCTGCATCCACTGGTTGGGCTCCACAAATGCCCAGCAAGTGCTGTTGAATGGCAACAGGTGCCACCTTTTTGTGCATGGAAGAATTTATCGACACCCCTTTGTTTCATCTGCACTCCCACGTCAGACGGCATTCTGTCAGACTGTCCCTCTGCTGCCATCTGTCACACAGCAACAAAAGGAATCGGGATTATTATTGGGAAGCTTCAACCCCTATTGCCATCCCCGCAGCGTCTGCCTCTGACATTGTGGGCCAACATAAAACAGGAAGCATCACTTTTGGAGCAGCCCTTGTGCAAGGCTTTGATTTCCTTCTTTCCTCCCTCAGCCCACCGTCAATGGGTACCGCAACAAATCCACGTTCTCTGTGAACCGAGGGCCGGATGGGAACCCCAAAACAGTGGGGCTGTATGTGGGGACAGGCAGAGGTCAGTATGGGACCAGGGGTGGTGCTGGGTGAGAGCTGCTGGGCTTACATATCCCCTTCTCTTCTCTTTTGTACAATGGGGTGATTCAGAGCAAAGGCTTTTCTCCAGCTTACAGCACTGCACGCTGCATGGTTTGCAGTGAAACAACCCCCTCAAATACCCATCTCTCTCTCCAGCAAAAAATATTGTCTGCGTGAGAACTGACCACATGAAGAACATACCCCTAAAGCACAAACAAGTGGCCCAGGTAAAGTAAATACCACGTCTGTCTGCAGGTGGGAGGACAGGGTGCTGTTGCTCTTTCTGGGGGGATGCTGCATTGGTTGTGTGTTTGTGTCTATCTAGTGTGTATGTGTATGTCTATGGATGTGTAGTTATGTGTTGTTCTTGGATCTGTTTCGATTCTGGCCAATGGAAAAAATGCCTTTTGAAGCACAAAAGTTAACGCCGGAACCTCAGAAGCGTCCCCTGGAGTGAAGTTAATGAAGCAGCAATTAATTGCTATTTAAAACAGATGAGAGTCACCAAGTGGGACGATTGAAACGTGTTGTTTTCCTCGCAAAGAGTTTTCTCTCGACCCGAGATAGCACAGAGGGCAATGGTGGAACAGTCGCTGTTTGGGGCACGGCATCACACGAGGATGAGGCTGTGTCCCTCACTGTGCTGTGCTCCATGCAGTGCTATGAGCAGTTCATCCGCCGCTCCCCGCTGGGCTCCTGCATCCTGTTCCATGAAGGTGGGCACTGGAGGGAGCTGGTGGTGCGCACCTCCCAGCACGGCCACACCATGGCCATCGTCACCTTCCACCCCCAGCAGCTGGGCCGGGTGAGTGGGACTGGGCCAACTCCAGGCCATCCCAATGGCTGTCACGGAGCTCTGTGGGCATACTGAAGCGACCATTCCTTCCCTCTCTTCCAGGAGGCTCTGGATGCTCAGAAAGCACTGCTGAGAGAGTTCTTCACCTGTGGACCTGGAGCAGTGTGTGCCCTGACGTCGCTGTACTTCCAGGAGAGGTATTGGTGCTTGGGTGGCTCTTGTGGACGTGGCTTTAAGGTGGCTGAGCCTCGCATTCCTTGTGAAGTATCAGAAATACTTGGATTTGGTTCTGCCCCATGGGAGTGTTGAGCCTGGGGAGCAAAAGGGAAAACCTAAAGTGCTCTTAGACATGACCTGGGTACTGCCAGGCTGATGGCTGCACTCAATGGTCTTAGGGATCTTTTCCAACCTAAATGACCCAATGGTTCTACCATTCCCAAATTGCATCAGCAGCAAAAGTGGGAATACATCCCGGGGCTACAACCCTCTACAAAGGGCCACAACCCCGCTACATCGTTGTGACCTGATTCAGTTCTCAGTTGCAGATCCCTTAAAAGTGTCACAGTTCCTTGATCTTGTTGAAATGCTCGTATGGAATAAAAGCAAACGTGCACCCCAGGAAAGGGGCAATGAAACGCCGCCCCCCCAGCAGGGTGTCATTTTATGTGTCCTTCCAGCACCATGACACGCTGTTCCCATGAGCAGTCACCCTTCCAGCTCCTTCATGGAGAACCACACATCTTTGAAGACGTGCTGGACCTGACATTTCGCATCTCCCCAGATGCCTTTTTCCAGGTGAACACAAGAGGAGCAGAAGTGCTGTACCAGGCAGTCAGGGAGCTGAGCCAGGCTGCCACAAACACTGTGCTCCTCGATGTCTGCTGTGGGACAGGTGAGCAGCATGAATCATAGAACAGTTGGGTTGGAAGGGACCTTAAAACCCACCCAGTCCCACCTGTGCTGTGAGCTGGGTGCCCCCCACCAGCTCAGGCTGCCCAGGGCCCCATTCAGTCCAGCTACAGGGATGGGGCACCACAGCTCCCTGGGGCTGGTGCTTTCCATGCCCAACATTATCTCCAATGCTTGTTTTCCTACACTGAAATGCAGTGTGTTTGTGCATCCCTGGTTTCCAGGCACGATTGGTCTCTCTCTGGCTCGCCACGTGTCCAAGGTCATTGGTGTTGAGATAGTGCAGAAGGCAATAGAGGATGCCAGGTGGAATGCAGCATTCAATGGTAAGTTCAACCACTGCCATTGCTGAGAAACCTGAAGCAAAAGTGAAGGGTTGCTCCTAACTACTCCCTCCAGTCAGCAAAGAGTGGGATTTTGTGTTAGGATGTCTGAGAGCACACCTTGTTTGTGTGTCTGCTTTCTCTTTGCAGGAATTTCAAACTGTGAATTTCACAGTGGAAAGGCAGAGGCTGTGTTACCAGAGCTGCTCTCATCGTGGGAGGATGCCCGACCCCTTGTTGCAGTGGTGAACCCATCCCGGGCTGGGATCCGTAAGGATATACCATTTATTTTCACCTTGAAGGGAAAGTTTTGAGCAAGCTGTGTGGGAGCTGTTGTGCTGGCTCCAAGCCCCCCGCTCACTCATTCTCTAGACATTCACCCCGGCCCTACAACCACCCTCATGGCCTCTACTGGTTTGGGCCAGTGTTGGGAAGTCTCACAGTGGCCCTAGAGCCCAGATGCTGCCCACTGCAGTGGGGTGTCCCCAGGAGCTGGAGTGTCACCGGGCCGTGGTGAGATGGTGCTGTGCTGTTGCAGATCACAGGGTTGTGAGGGCCATCCGGAGCTGCGGGGCCATCCGAAGGCTGCTCTACATCTCCTGCAAGCCAGAGGGTGAAGCCATGAGGAACTTCCTTGAGTGAGCAGCCTCCTCTTTTCTGCTGACATTAGCAACACTTGCATGCCCCGAGAACGGGGACCTGAGGATCTGTCCTCAGCACAGGGGGGGGTTTTGTTGTTACCTAATTTCACAGGGTTAATTCTGCAGGTGGGACCCCGGTCAGTGTGTGGCCAGAAGTGGTTTGTGCTTTTGCACTGCTTTGGGTTTACCTGCAAGCTGCACTGGTTGAAGCAGTGGGTATTCCTGATGCTGAGTGCCAGCAGAATGCATCATTCAGGGGTAGAAAAAAATGCAAAGGTGTTGTAATGACATTGTGCACAGCCCTTCCCCAGCATAACACGGAGGGTGGTGAGGCACTGGAGCAGGTTGCCCAAGGAGGCTGTGGATGCCCCATCCCTGCAGGCATTCAAGGCCAGGCTGGATGTGGCTCTGGGCAGCTTGGTCTGCTGGCTGGCGACCCTGCACACAGCAGGGGTTGGAACTGGGTGAGCATTGTGGTCCTTTTCAACCCAGGCCATTCTAGGATTGCATAATTCTATGATAACAGTGCAGCAGGGTGTGGGACACCACATCCCCACACTCCCTGCAGGAAGGTGGGCCTCCAGCCAAAGAGCAAAGCCAGCTCCTGGGATTAGCCATCACCTCCTTAGGGTTAATCACCCAGCCGAGGGCTGACGGATGTTAGCCAACCTAAAGATACTCTCTTAATGCCTCCTCCGTGAAGCTAATGGCACAGGAAGGCTTACAGGGCAGGTCTGAAGGTCGCCCTTCAATGCTGTTCTTCCTGCAGGCTGTGCTGCCCCCCTGACCCAAGGAAGAAGCTGGAAGGAGAGCCGTTTGCCCCCGCGCTGGCTGTCCCTTTCGACATGTTCCCTCACACTGCTCACTGTGAGCTGGTGCTGCTGCTCACCCGCTGACAGCAAGGAGGTTTGCAGCTCTGCGAGCTCAGGAAGCGACCTCCTGATGTCCTTAAGGAGCAGATGTGGCTCCTTATTTTTATATGAATCTCAAGAAATGAGTTATTTTCCATTTGCTCTTACTGCGGGTTGCCTAATCTATATGGAAACATAATGATTTCTGGAAGTCGTTTTCTCATTGGGTTGCTCTGCAATAGCCAAATAAATAGATAAACCAGGCTAATTGCATAAATGAATAGAAGGTATTTGTGTGTTATGCTCTTCTCATTGGCCGGCAAGCTGCAAGCCTCAAAGGTGCTTGAAACTCTCTCCAGCTCTTCAGAAAATGAAACTACTGCAAATTGGAGGTAGATCTCAGTCTGCAAAATGTTTCTACAGTCGGGCGTTGAGTTTCCTCAGAAAGAGGAAATTGGTTGAACGGAGGTTGGCAAACTTCTAAGGAAACAGGGAGAGCTTCTGCCCTAAAGACTCTACCTGCTGGTATCTCTCACAGCTGTGATTTGATCCTAAAGAACCCTAAGGATCATAGGATCATTGAGAATGGAAAAGACCTCTAAGATCAAGTCCAACTGTACACCTACTGCCAGTATTTCCCACTAAGCCATGTCCCTAAGAGCTTGGGACAGTGCCAGCCACCTTCACTGGGCTCTTCAGATGCATAGGGTCAGGACCTGGGGCTTGTTAGAGCAGATCCTACAGCAGAAGGGAGGTGATGGGCACACTGCTGGCAGGTTCCCTCGTGCTGCCCCTTTGCATGCTTTCCCTCTCGTTTTCAGCTCACAGTGAGGGATGCTGTTCATGGAATCATAGAATGGCTGAAGTTGGAAGGGACCATAAAAATCACCTAATTCCAACCCCCCGCCATGCACAGGGCTGCCAACCAGCAGCTCAGGCTGTGCAGGGCTCCATCCAACCTGGCCTTGAATGTCCCAAGGGATGGGGCACCCACAGCTCTCTGGGCAGCAGTGCAGGGCCTCACTGCCCTCTCTGTAAAGAATTTCTTCCTAACCTCTAACCTAATCCTCTCCCGTTTTAGTTTAAAGCCATTCTCCCTCTTACTGCCACTATCTGCCCCTGTAAAAAGTCAGTCCCCATGCTGCTTATAAAATCCCTTCAGGAGCTGCACTGAGCTCTCCCTGCAGCCCTCTTTTCCCCACGCTGAGCTGCCCCAGCTCACAGCCTGGCTCCAAAGCAGAGGTGGTTCTCCAGCATCATTGCTTTGTATAATTACACCTCGACTTCTTGCTGTAAGGTGGCAAACAGATCTCTGCTAGGCTGTCCTTCTGCCAAAAGGAAATCGCCCGCAAATCAAAGGAGAGGAGAGAGAGAATGACTTCACACCAAAAAAAAATCCAAAACCAAATTAACACGGGATCAGGAAACGGTTGCTGTGGAGCGCTACACACACGGGGAGGAGCTGGCAGCGGGGTTGCTCCGTCCTTATAGGGACGCGGGGCTCCGGGAGCGGCAGCCCGTGCCCGGAGTTGCGGGGTGTTGCGGGGCGGGCGTTAGGACCCGGCGGCCGCGGGGCGGAGAGGCCGCATCCCTGCCGCTGCCTCTGCAGCGTTATTCCTCGGTTCCCTCCATGGTGACCGCAGCCCGGAGGCCGCGTTAGGACCGCATCCCGGCGGCTCGATGGCATCCCCCAGGACCATCACCATCGTCGCCCTTTCGGTGGCCCTGGGGCTCTTTTTTGTCTTCATGGGGACCATCAAGCTGACCCCGCGGCTCAGCAGGGATGCCTACAACGAGATGGTGAGGTCGGCGGAGAGGCGGCCGTGAGGCTCTCGGGTGGGGACCGCGACCGCTGCGGAACAACGATGGGAGGGAGGGAGCCAACCGCTGGGTACGGGAGGAACAGAGCGAGAAGATGCGGGCAACCTCCTGCGAGAAAGCTCCGGTGCGGGGCGAGGAGGATGGGATGGCACCGCTGGTCCCTAAAGATGGGGGAAGGATGGATGCGGGGTGCGGGGTCCGGGGAGGGGCTGCGGGTCCGGCCATCCCTGGGCAATGCCCGCCTCGGATCACACTCGATGTTGTGGGTGCTTTCCTGCAGGAGCAATGGCACTGAGTGTCCCCACCTCACCGGGCTTGTGTGAGATTAATTCCCATCCGTGAGATGCTGTGGGATTCTTAGCGGGCAGAAGGAGATGTGAAGAATCCCCTCATTACTCCCTGTGCTCTGGGAAATGGACCTCTCCCCCACAGGGTGCTAAGGCACTGTGCATTTATCAGCTGGGAGAATCCCAGAGCAAGAGCAAGGGCTAGCCCTCTGCTCCCATCCGCCTTGGGTTATTCTCCTGCCCTCCTCCATTTTCGTTTTATTCTTTGCAGTGGTGGAAAAGCGCCGGTGTAATTCTTGGGCCCGTAAGAAATAGTGATGGAAGTTTCCAGCACGTTCTGTTCTCTCCCATCGCTGCACCTGCTTTTCCTTAGCTCTCAAATAACATCTGAATGGCAGTGCTGTGTCTGCAGACCTGCCCAGGTCTCTGATAGAGGACAGCGTTGCAGAATAACTCAGGACTGAGAAGTGAGGAGAAAATGTCCAGAAAACAGCTCTCCAGCTCCTGCTGCCTCAGTGAAGTGTAGGAATAAGGCACTGAGGCTTTGGCAGCATTGCAGAATGCTCACTGCATTGCACTGGGCTTCTCTGTGGGTTTATGCTTTGCCAGGAGTGAGGCCTACAGGTAGGGATGATCTCTGTTTTTATTACAAGGAGGAGGTGGAGGCATTCAGAGATTGGGCAGCAACACCATTCTTAATGCCCTGCGCTGTGATGAGGCTCGTTAGGTTTCTATGCTTTTGCTGCACAGTAAACCAGGGTGATACATTAAATAGATAAGATGGGGATGAAAACCTGTTTTTGCTCATCGGTGTGTGACTTCTTGCCCCAAGCAAACACAGAACCGCTGCTGTTTACCCAAATGTGCAGTGATTTTGTTAGTTTTATTTTCCCACTCAGCAAAAACCATGCACAGCTGTTTGTTTATGGCAATACCAGAGTGCTGTAGGGCGTACCACCAACCCACTGCTTTATCTATCTGTTAAAAACTGCTGCCTTGAGGAGAGCTTTTGTTGACAGAAGTCTCAAGGCACATCCTGACCTTACATCCACTTGGTCAAAGGATCTTTGTTTGGTATCAAAAATGACAAAACTGAATATTTTTCAACCACAGCATCATCAGCTTCTCTTAAAATTCATGGAGAAGTAGAGAAGTTCTGTGTGCCCACAACGCAGGTTTCCAAAACTGCTTGGGAAGTAAATGTGCAAACCCACCTATGCCTCATGTTCAAATGCAAGAACTTGAGTGCATGTAAGGACAGAGGTTGCTTCTCCCCTGAAACAAGGAGGCAGCTGTGGAAGGAGGCTGGCGGCAGCTCACAATGCTTCTAAATCCAGCATAAATCAGAGGGCAAGGATGTCAAGTGCCTGCTTGCTTTTATCTGAGGAACGAAAGGATCACAGAGGTGTGTAAGAGCAGGAGCAGGACTCACAAAGGTGAATCTGAGCTCTGATGCGTTGTCTGTCCCACCCTGAGTCTGTCCTGCCCACAAACCCTGAGGTACTTTGTGTTGTTTTGAGATGGGAAGTGATTTCTTCCACCTTCTGTGCCCTGGCTTGGCGGGGATGAGGTGTGTTATTTAAGGGCATGATACTCTCAGACAGTTGTGTTTTTTTTAAACATGGTTCTGCATTGTTGATCATAGCAATGGTAACTTCAGATTTTGGGAGGAGTGCTTAACACACTCCTAGCTTCAGCATTGGGTGCTAGTTTGCACAGCTGTCTTCCAGCTCCTGAAGGAGCATTGCAGGTTGATGGAGTGTTAATATCCTTCCATCAGAAGCTTTATGGCTATGGAGGGGTATCATACCAGTGGGGTTTGACTGGTATACAGTGATGACTGAACTGATCTCGGTTGCCCAAGGAGGCTGTGGATGCCCCATCCCTGCAGGCATTCAAGGCCAGGCTGGAGGTGGCTCTGGGCAGCCTGGTCTGCTGGTTGGCGACCTGCACACAGCAGGGGGTTGGAACTGATGAGCGTTGTGGTCCTTTGCAACCCGGGCCAATCTATGATTGTATGATTGTATGATTGTATGATTCTATGATCTTTACACCATACCACACTTACCTATGCCAATGAAAGTCACCTCTCCCTTCTCACATCACCGCATGATGCTTGGTTTCAGAAGCGAGCCTACAAAAGCTACGTGAGAGCCCTCCCCATGCTGAAGAAGATGGGAGTCAGCTCCATCCTTCTCCGCAAGAGCATCGGAGCCCTAGAAGTGGCATGTGGCATTGTCATGACACTGGTTCCCGGCCGCCCCAAAGACGTGGCCAATTTTCTGCTCCTCCTGCTCGTGCTGGCTGTGCTCTTCTTCCACCAGCTGGTGGGGGACCCGCTCAAGCGTTACGCCCATGCTCTGGTCTTTGGGATCCTGCTCACCTGCCGCCTGCTGATTGCCCGCCAGCCCGAGGAGCAGCCACCAGAAAAGAGGATGCTGTCGGTGAATGGGGACGAGCAGCCGCTCCTCCACGAGGCAGCTCCTGAGAAAGGCAAAGTGAAGGTATCTTAGTGGAGTGAGTCTGAGGAATACGGACCCTCGAGGCAGCTCTCTCCAAAAGCACCCAGAAAAAAATCCTTTTTTTTTTTTTTTTTTAATTTACCTATTTATATTTTTCAGCTGTCTAAATAAAGTTTCACTTGGGGTCTGAGAGATATATGGTATGTCTACACCGTAGTCTTGCTTTTGCTGCTGGCCTGTAATGTAGGAAGATACAAGCTAGCTTTGAGCAGGATGGTTTGGAGGCAGTTAGCACCTGGCTGGAGGAACATTGGCCTCAGCAGGAGCTGCAAAACCAGAGTGTGGGCAGCTCATCATGCTAGATTGGCACTCCTGAGGTGGGGGTTTGTCCCTGAGCATAAGACCTGAGATCCTCAGCAGTGTAAAGTTGGCCTGGATGCACTTCTGCTACGTTACAGCCTCAGCAACAACTGCTGGGTAGAACATTACCACTGCCCTGCACTGGCTCGTGCAGCCCAGCCCATAGAGTCACCTCAGGCACAAATGTACATTTTCTTTTATGTTGTCAGGCAGGGAATGGACCCTACTCAGCATTGTTGTGTTTGAGGGAGGTGTCCCACAGCCTTTGCTGCCTGTGACCAGTCTGTTGTGTGGTCCAGTGATGCAGGGAAAACGTGATGCACTACTTACATCTTGGATTTCCATGCTTTGCAGAGGCTTTAGAACAGTGGCCTCTTAACAGTAACTTTTTCCCTATTTAACATGAAGCAATGGTATCTGTTTACCTCCCGACTGAGAATAAGGCTCCCCGCTGAGGGGATGGGAAGCAGAACTGCCTAAAGAATTGCTTTTATCCATTACCATATTCCCAAATAGTTTGCTGCTGGCAAAGAGCATCAAACTCTCCCTTTCAAGAAAAAAATAAAAAGAAAAATAAATCCCTTTTTCCAAAACTGCTGCAATTTCTTGGAATCCGTGGTTACTGCTAATAGATGAGGGTCTGAGCATGTCTGGGTGTCACACTGTGCATCCCATACTTCAGTGGGAACGTCCCACTGGGGCAGGTCCTCTCACAAGACCCCAAATCCCTGTGTGTCAAAGCTGAAATCTTATGGAGTGTCACGAGAAGTGTGTTTTACCTCTGAGTTCTGTTTGCTTCTGTCGATGTTTGTCTGGGTTTTTCCTTATTCGTTATTGATGAAAATAAACTTCTTTTTTTTTTTTTTGAAACTTGGAGAAAGATGGTCCTTTTGGGAGATGCATCTGGAAATAATCTTCCCGTGTGCTCCAACACTGCATCCAAACCAGGCAGAATCACACTAGGGGGATTTCAGAGAAAGACAAGGCGATACAGGATGGAAGCCATGGGAACATTGCTTTAGAACAGAATGGCAGTGAGAAAACATATTAAACCCACAGTAAAACATCAGTGCTGTATCACTATAAGCATCGGACAGATGTTTGCATGCAGTCTACCCCGTTTTGCTCGTGCAGTTGACTCAAGTCCTCTGCTGCAACAGATGCAGCCCAAACACAGGAATCGTGCAAAATCCCCCTCCTGGAGCCCCAGAGAGTGACAGATTGTCACAGACAGAGGGCACTGCCAACAGGGCACCTCGGTGGGGCAACCAGAGACCATCCCAAGGTCACCCCAAACGTGCCCACCATTTGCTTTACTTCCTGAGAGGCACTTCTGCCATGGCTAGGCCTGAGCTATTAGCACTTTGAGTTCCAAAAAGGCAGGTACATCCACCACCAACCCCACAGCACCACCACAACGCGTGCCCTGTGCAAAGCGCTGTGGCATGGCAGCCTTCCCGCAGCCAGTTCCCACATCTCCAGCTCAATATTTGGTGTTTGCCACTAGCGCTGCTCCTCACCACAACCTGCACAGACACCACGAGAATTTAAAGCAGTGTGCGGCACAGACCATTGCTGTGGGCTCTTTAGATGCAGACAGCAAGTGGATTCCCCTTTCTGTTTCTCTCCTTCAGAAGAAGGCTGTTCCTGAATCCAATGATGGCTGACCTCCATTACTAACCCCAGCGCCAGCCTGTTTTTGGAATCCCATTTTTGCTTGCTGGTGGTGATAAGGGGGCAGGAACTCATTTATCCCTTTGATAACATATTCTGTTTATACCGTGACTTGTAATTCTCTGGGCCGACTGCATTTTTTAAACCTGTTAATGCGTTTCCAAACGCAACACCCACCGCCACGCATCCACAGAGCACAGCGACTGCGCATGCTCAGAACGGCCGGGAGCGCCGTCGCCGCTTTGCGCACGCGCGTACCGAGTAAGACGCGTTCACTGAGCCGCTGCGCAGTGCGCGGTGCGCATGCGCACACCCTTTAAAAGACGGCCCGCAGCGCGCATGCGTGTCGTGTGGCGCGGAAGTTTGAACTGCGGGCGGTTGGAGTGAGGTAATGGTGGGTGGTGGGCGGGCTGGGAAGTCAACGCCGGGGCCGTGGCTGCTGGGGGAGGCTGGGAGCGCTGTGGGAGCCCGAGGAGAGCCTGATGGGGAAAGGGTGTGCGTGCTCGACTGAGAGGGAGGGGGTTTCTCCTGACAGGAGGTCTTGCTGCTTCCGAGCAGTGCGTTGAGCTCTGTGGGCACGGCCTGCCGCTGCGCTCCTCCTGCAGCAGCTGTCAGCTGTGGGCACGAGTGCCCCGAGTCTGTTCGGCGGCTGTCACGGTGCTTCAGGTGGGACCTGCGAGGGGATCTGATCGTGGGGTGCTGCAGCCAGAAGTGAGTGACAAACCTGAGGGAAAATGGGGGCTCTGTCAGCTCCAGAGCTGAATCACAGAATGGCCTGGGTTGCAGAGGAGCACAATGCTCCTCCAGTTCCAACTCCCTGCTGTGTGCAGGTCACCAACCAGCAGCCCAGGCTGCCCAGAGCCACATCCAGCCTGGCCTTGAATGCCTGCAGGGATGGGGCATCCACAGCCTCCTTGGGCAACCTGTGCCAGTGCCTCACCACCCTGTGTGAAAACCTTCCTCCCTGAAGAGGGTGTATGAACTGCAAGCCATCCTGCTTTCTTGTGGCTGGGAAACAAAACCAATTGCTCCAGCAGTTCAGGGGTATGCATGTACATATGCACTGTGCCTAAGCCAGGAGCTTGTAGCAGTGTTCTGTGTCTTCTGGGTAAAGGGCTGATCTTGATGGAGAGCAGGGAACACTGCTTTTCACTGTTGTATTTTAGCCAGAGCTTGGCAGTGTTGCAGTGCTGGTAGCTCTTAAGCTTCACTTGGGCCCTTATTGTTTATACTTTTTAAACCCTACCTGTTAAACGGAAGCAGACTGTAACATCCTAATTCCTGTACAACAGGAAGAAGGCTGGTAGGATTCTTTAAAATCTGGACCCCAGCTTTCAGGAAGCTGCTGTCTGTTGGCTGACTGTGTTGCCGTGTACAGTAATAAGGCTGTTCACAGTTTTCTTATCCATTTAATTTATGCACTGGATTGGCTTTCTTTTTGTGTTGTGTTTGCTGTCTGGTTATGTTGGTTTTGGATCAAAACATGATCATCAAAAGAGCTTTATTTAAAGAACATTAGTGTTAGATCTCATGGATTTTTATCATCCCTTTCTTAATTTTAAGAAAGTTTCTCAATTCAAAACACCTTTCTGCATGAATCGTTCAGTGACTGACAGCTATAAATGATTTGCTGTGAGAACTGCTCTTACCTTATCCAGTATCCCTATAAAATGTTTGTCAGCAAAACACCTGCTTTCTTTTCTTGCAGGAAACTTGCTCTTCAACTCTTGGAGGTTGGTCTGTTTGCTTCCCCCTTTTCTGGAAGGACCAGAACCCACGTGACAAACGAGTGGAATTCTCCCATCTCAACTGAAAGGCTGAAAAGATGCAACGAAGGCGGAGTTCTATGCACTCCAAGCAACCTCTGCAAGTTCACCACAGCAATCAGACTGATCTCTCTGCTTGGAGAAAAGGAGGGACAGTTGATACTGAAGAAAGTGCCCGGAATCATCAATCTCTGAGTGATCAGAAAAATGACAACGAGCAAGACTCTCTTGAGCAAGCTCTGAGCTACTTTGAGAAAAGTAAGAGAGCAGATTTAAGATTGGCTGCAGAGACTTGTAAAGATTAATGTCTAATGTCCCTTATTCTAACATCTGAGCTTTATAGTAGCTTGCCTTGTTAGTGTATTTAAAGGTTTCTTCTTTTGCTTGCTATAGGAAGCTTGTTTAGCTTGGAAAAGAGAAGGCTCTGAGGAGACCTCATTGTGGCCTTCCAATACTTGAAGGGAGCATATGAACAGGAGGGGGAACGGCTGTTTGTGAGGGTGGATGGTGATGGGACAAGGGGAATGGTTTTAAAGTGAGACAGGGGAGGTTTAGGTTGGATATGAGGAGGAAGTTTTTCACAGAGGATGATGAGGCACTGGAGCAGGTTGCCCAAGGAGGCTGTGGATGCCCCATCCCTGCAGGCATTCAAGGCCAGGCTGGATGTGGCTCTGGGCAGCCTGGGCTGCTGGTTGGTGACCTGCACACAGCAGGGGGTTGGAACTGGAGCAGCACTGTGGTCCTTTGCAACCCAGGCCATTCTAGGATTCTATGAAGAGCCCAACGAGAAGGACTACCCATAGGAGCAATTCAGAGAAGTTTAAAACACTTCAATTTAACTTCAGAAGTTGTTCCATTGTTTGTCTTTTTTTTCTCCTAGTTCAAGATCGAGTTTCACTGAAAAAGAGTGAAGTTCTGCAGAAACATTTGTCTACTGTGGAAAGCGTTGCCCTGAAAAGAGGTTTACCCCCTGAAGGATTTGATGTACTGCTAGATGTGGCACTCAGTGGCAAACTTGGTAATATGTTTATGTACTGCAGGCACGTCTTCAGTGCATGTCTGCCTCCCCTCTGAACCTGCTGGAGGTGGTACATCTATAGAGCCTGTAGGGTTTGGCAGTTTGGCATAAAAATAATCTTCCTTGCACACTCCAGAGTGAATTCTGAGTTCAGATGCCATGTGGTGTGGAACATCCCTTTACCCCCTTTGGGTCACCTCTCCTGGTTCTGTCCCCACCCTGCTTCTTGTGCACTGCCAGCTTTGCTGATGGGAGAAACTGAAACATTTTTGAAATAGTGTAAGCACTGCTCAGCAGCAACTAAAACATCAGTGTGTATCATCATAGTTTTTCCTCTTGAATCCACAGCATGGCACTGTAGCAGCCACCACGAGGCAAATTAACTTTATCCCAAGCAAAACCAGGACACTTTCATAACTGTGTTAATGAGACTCACTAAAATTAGAGCATTTGTACTGCCAATCAATTCAGCATGTCATTGTGCTGCTCTCCTGGTGGTGGCCATCACTTGTATTTCTAAATTAATGTCGTATTAAATAAAAAGGATGACCTTTCCCTTTCTCACATCCAAGAGGAGCATGCAGGATTCTTTCCTTATTATGCAAGTAATTTTGTTCTTTTATTGATTCACATTGCTTGGCTTATCTCTAAGGCAGTAATTTGCTGATGTTTGGCTGGCACTCATATACTCTTCTGGTGAAGGAATTGGTCATTAATATTACCAGAAATGTGCTACTCTTCTTTGTCTTGCAAGGAGTCTCTTGGTGATGCAGACAGTCCCTAATGGATTCTTGTGCACTGTTATAAGCAAAGAAGCTCTGAATAATTTTGCCTGGGGTGATCTTAACCTTAAAACCATATCAAAGAACCTGGTACGTGGGCAGCATCTGATCTTCAATGGTTTGTTTTGCAGCTGATACAGTGAACACTCGTTTACTGAAGAGCCTGATCCCAGCCTCAGCAATACCAGAAAGTTCTGTTGTTTCCTCTGTGTCTTGGCTCTGTGTCAGCAAATGCTCAAGCAACATCCAGGTAACTTCGTGCATGTTTGTTATGTTTCTGCACAGGATTGAAGAGGACAGGTTATGTGCAGGAAACAGAAATGCTGTGGTTTTAATGTCCAAAGTTATTGCATAAACTGCTGGCATTTAGACTGATGGAGAGGCCTGTACCTGAAATGGCAGTGGGAGCTGAGGGACACTTTGGAGTTGAGTGGGAACTTGCACAGTTTCCACTTGTCTTGTATCTCTGGTGTGGAAACCTCTAAGGACAGTCCTTGTGGCCTTCATGTATGCTGAAGGTTTGCATCGTTTTCTAGAGATCAGCACATCCATTACTGATGGTTTTTCTGTTGCATATGGCAGCAGATGTTCTGGCTGGCTTTCTTCCACAGCAGGAGTAGTGCTGGTTGTTTACCTGAAGCTGTCTGGTTGTCTTTAAATGTGCTGTAATGATTGTTCCTCTTAAGCTGGCTACTGCCTTGTCTGTCCTGGTTTTGCCTGTTAACTTGATGTAAGATGGCTGTTTTCTGTCTGCAGCTGCTCTTCCTAAGATGGCTGATCACGATGTTTGACTTCATTGATCACAAGGAACAAGTTCATGCCCTCTATGGCATCTTCTTCTCCTTCCTGAATAATGAGAAGTTGGTAAGGAGAACTGAATACACAAAAGCTAACAAAATATGTCTGAATTAGTAGTCTGCGTATTAATGACAGACAGGAATACCTATAAACTAGAGATTATTTTTGGTGGAACTTATTTTCCTTTTCTCCTTTTGGATTCAAAGATTGCTGGGTACTTCAGAATCAGAAACAGGGAAGCTCTAAGTTGTTTCAGTTTGAATAATGCAGTCTGGTTGTTGCAATGATTTCAAGAATTGATAATCTCATACACAGACAGAGCTACAGTGTATGCTGCAGTGCCTGGAACAGCTTTTATAGGACATTGGATAAAGTCTTTTACTCCTGAGAAGGAAAAGCTGACTTGTGGGGCAAAAAAGAGCCCAACAACCTGCTGGAGAAATGTTGATTGAATGATGAGAAACTCAAAATGCTGTTCTTTGTTGGTTTGCAGCATAGCTTAAATAAGAAGAGGTACTGAGGAGCTTTGTGCTGTAAGGTATCTGTACAATCTGGGTGCTGGGATGCTGAAATAGCTAGATTCAATTCAGGTTCAGGTGATACTGGAATCGTGTTAGCCAGGAAATTGGGAACTCATCCAGTTCAGAACACTTTGGGGTTAAGACTCAAAGTTCTGCTTATGCTGTCAGCCAAACGTTCAGTTGTTTAACATCAGCTGTAACCTTTTCAGGAAACTGGACTTAAGTTAAATTTTCAAGTACAGCTGAGCCAAACTTAGACCATTGCAGGCTCTGTTGCAGTTAGCATTAATGTGTTATTTTCACCTAAGGGTAACTTTTTGCTTTGGAAACTTTCACTGCTAGTCTCTGAGATACATAAATGGTTCTCAAAACCAGGGCAGGAGGTCACGGAGTGGTCTGACTGCCATGGGAACTGCATGTAATGGACATATGTTATCTAAACAAAGTTGCTACATGTGAGATGTAGGAACCAGGTGCTTCCTGTGGGAAGTGAGGCAACCTGCCCCTCAGTGGGGACGCAGTGCTAACTTGAGGCAGCAGATGGAAAGAAGCACTGTTAACTTGTGAAGCCCGTTTTTGGAAGGGGTGTCGCCTTCGGTGCATCCTGGTTAGTGGCTTGCATCAGTAAGACAGGTTCATTGCTGCCTTTTCTTTGCAGTGTCCCTACATCTGCCACGTGCTCTACCTGCTGACCAGGCAAGAAAACGGTGAGATCCTCATTTGTGTGAGATGAAATACCATTTTGTTTCTCATTCTGTGTGCTGGTGCTGCCATGTCTTCTGGAGCTCGTACAATGGCCAGGCACTGCAGTCAAGGAGGCCTGAGCTACAATTCTGTCTGATTTGTATCATACTTGATGAAGCAGAAACCTGCCTCTTAGCCCAGAAATAATACTGGCTGTTCCTGCTTTCTTTGCCATACCAATAGAAGTTGTATCTCATTTTCACTTAAATGCTGAATAAAAGTGGTGTTTGTTTTTTTTTTTTTTAATTATTATTTTCTAATGTTCCCAATTGTTTTTCCAGTCAAGCCTTTTCGGGTCAGGCGACTCCTTGATCTCCAATCAAAAATGGCAAGTTCATTTCAAATCTTGTAGAGGCTGAAACTGTGCTGAATGGGGCAGCTTCTGAGTGTCCTTACGGAGCAGAGAGAAGAGGCGAGCAGCTTAAGATGGGGTTGGGCTTGGAACAGTAGGCTGGCGTCTTCCTGGCATCCAAGCTTCTCCACCTGCATGTGCATCCTGAGTTCTCCCATTGTGGTTTTTCTGTTGCTGTGAGCACGTGCAGTGATGTACAGAACTCTGCGTTATAGAGATGTGCTAGAGCAACTTAGTTTCACTTATCTGTTACCTTCTTTAATTTCCTGTTCCAAGCTTTATTAAAAATTAGTGGGGAAATATAAGGCTGTGTAGTACCTGCTGCCTCTTTGTAAGAAACTAAAATTGCTTTAGAGGTAATTGCAGTTGCTAGAGAAGTGTAAGTGGTGCTGTGTGGTTACAGTAACACTTGGAGCATTTAATCTGCAGAGAGCTGTATTTTTTAATAGTTTTTATGTTAAATTTCTTATTAGAGCTGTGACAGTAGGAAGTCCTTTCTCCTGATCCCTCCCTACAGTATTTCACTGACAGTTTTACTCTATTCATTATATACCTCTGGTTACTTACTGATGTGTCCCTGTGGAAGCTTTCAGTAATGAGAGTTTTTCTGCTTTGTAAATACAATATTTGATATCTATGTTAAAAGCATATCATATCTTTTTCCTCCTGCTTTCTTGACAGGGTATGCAACCTCATCTGCAGGCTCTGCTATCGCTTTATAAGCTTTTCTGTCCTGAGCTGATATCCATAAGCCTTCCTCAGAAGATGAAGGTGAGGAGTCAGATTAAATCTATCTGGAACTGGTACTTATGACAGTAATTTGATGAGCTTTCTGCTTGTGCTGTAGCATGATGTAGTGGTGAAGATTAATTCTATTTCCTGGGTGTTCCTGCAGTAGTTTGGGACTTGATCAGAGTTAAATGTGAGTGAAGTGACAAAAACAAGTTTTGTGCAGAGAGGATGTTGGACCTAATTCATTCAATTTCATTTTGGCCTGATATCTAAGAGCTCAGTTACTCACTGAGTGGTTTGGTTTGACTGAATTCAAGAAGTCTTCCCCATAACTTGTACAAGCATTCCTTTGCCATAGTTTTATTATAGTGTGTACTTGAGGTTTACTCTACGAACAGATGATTGATCTTAATAAGAACTATAAATATTGGAATTCCCTTATGACAAAGGGGGTGTTTCAGAGGAACGTGAAAGTGGAACCACTGAAGTACAGTTGAAAGGTGGTGAATCCAAAGAGTGAGAGTTACTTGCTGTCAAATCCCAGCCTCTTGGTCTGTCAGGAAGAGATGAGTGCATATACATCACTGTGCTGTCTGCTGGAATAGAACCTCTCTGTTGCTTTGTCTCTCTGTTGCTTTGTTGTAATTTGGCTTCTTGCATACGTGTCTGAATTTTGTTTCCAGGCTTATTTCAAGAATGCAGACAGCCCATGGAAAGCAGCAATCAACGCTGTAAGGCGAAGAAACCAGGCCAATTCCACTGTGCCCCAACCACTGCTGTTAGGCATAGCTCAACCTCACTCACGGAAAAGAGTAGGTTTTCCTCCTCAGGAAGCTGCCAAATGGCTGTTTTGATGACGAGTAATGGCAAACAGTGGGAGCTGGGTTATACTTCAGAGCTCTGCAGGGTGGGATAGCTATATGGAAGTGCAGCATACTGCTGGAATGGAAGCCTGGGTGCAAATTCTTTTCTCATCACAGGATCTCTGTGAACAGTGGGCACAAGTGCCCAGCTGAGTCACTGCTGTTTGTTTGTTTCTTTTCTACAGAAGTGGAATACCCAGTTGATTGTACCTGCAAGCAGTGCCAGCGCACAGAATTCAGCAGTGGGTGGGAAAAGGAGCAGCGTTGATTCATTCGGTGCTAACAGATCTTTTCCAGTGGAGCAGCTGCGGACCTTTCCCCAGCTCCTGCAAAATATCCACCGCCTGGAGGTGAGTGGCAGGAAGGTCTCAAGCTCTGTGCTGGGAAAACAAAAGACTTTGGTCTGTGACCTCACAGGTATCTGGTGCGTGGGCAACCTAATTCAGAAAGAGCATCTAGTCTTGAGGCTGGTGAGCAGGAGGCCTGGAGGGTGATCTTCCTAGCAGTGAAGGATTGGACAGCTCTGATGGCACGAGAGCCTGTGGCAATTTACAAATATGAACACAAAAGAACTAGTTTGGCTTTGTTTATTTACCTTGCCCCTGTTTTTGCAGTTTCCTTCCCAGATGGGCTCGGTGCTAACGAACCCATTACTACTTCACTACATGAACTGCAGCAAAGATGCCTCTGTTTATCTGAGGCTCTACTATTGGATGGGACAGACTCTTCAGCAAGGTAGGAACTCAATATAAGCTCTCATAGTGGGGTGGTTAAGGTTGTCTGAAGCTTTTTACCATTGATCATAGTACTTTGCCATTTGGATGTGTAGTGCTGAAGCAAATACTGCAGAAGAGTTAAATTTTATTTCTGGCTTTGCTTTTTCTGGCTGTTCAAATGCATTCCTCTCCCCTCTTCAGAGTGCACCTGGTGTGTAGTTGATAATAACCAACATGAAGAATTCAAAGGCTTCCTGGAAACCGCCTACAAGGCAGAATGTTTCTTACAAGTGAGTGCCTGCTATGTGGAAAACAAGGGTTTCATGAAGTTCTTTAAAGTGCATTTGGGACTGATGTGCTTCCTGGAGTTTAAGTGAGAAATGGCAGTGTCTGAAGTCGCCCAAAGACGACTTAAAAATACACTCTCCCAATATTCTATGGTAACTGATTTCTGCAGGAATGGTAACTTGAGTGTCCTGGAGAATTGCATGAAGCAGGTCCAAACCTCTTCCTTCTCCAGGGTGATCTGGAGATAAATTTCTGAGTGCTCACCTTCTGCTTTCTAGGAGGGATTTCTTTCCTGTGAGGAGTTCCTATACAGGAGTCTTCCTCTCTGGGATGGCGTTTCCTGCCGATCACAAATCCTCCAGCTTGTCAGTTGGATCCCCCTCAGTACCTTCTGTGGTACGTGTTGCAGATGTTTTGCATGAGCTTGGACAGTGTCTGATCCCAGGGGAACAATTTAAGCACAGATAGCATGCTGCTTTCTTCTTTATTCCAGAAACGAAGTCACAACTCTGCGATCCCCTGGCACAGCTCTTCTTCACATCATCCCTTTACTTCAAGGTAACTTGAGTGAGTGGCTATTTGCTTCTAGTTGGTACTGCATCCATCTGTATTTGTGTAAGGTGTAACAGTCTGAAGGGCTGTACAGGGAGAAGTCTGTGCCCAAGCACAGGTAAAATGTTCTTATGATGTAACTTCTCTGGGAATTTGAGTGTCTTAAGGGATCTTTTTTTTTGCCTGGAGCAAGTGGAGGCACTGGATTTAGAAAAACTGTCTGATAGCATGAAAGGCAGTAGTGGTTTCTTATTGCAGTTCTAACAGAACTTGAAACTCTCATTCTCCAGCAAAAACTACATAATGTATACCTTCAGTTTGAAGGGAGACCGCAGATTCTCTTCTCTTTGAGAAACTCTTGGTACATTTCCTTGATTGCTTTAATTCTCAGGGCATCCTGCTCAGTGTTTTTCACTTCTGTAACTTTGCAACAATCTGTCTTTTTTTTTTTAAATCCTGCAGTGCAGCGTTCTGGAGAGTCTGAAAGAGCTGCTGCAGAACTGGTTAAACTGGCACGTGGTGCAGCTGGATTCAGAGCCTGATTCCCAACTCAGTTCTTTGTAAGCTTGTCTGAAGCGTATCTTGATATGCCTGTTACCTAATGCTAAGATCAGGTGGCACTGCTGTAATGCTTCTGCTATACTGCAAGCTACCTTGTGGGTCCTGGTTTTTACTTCTGATTGAAAAATATTTTTATTGGCACTGAAAGCTGGTATGTCCAGAAGCTCAGGATTCTTGTAACACTGACAGCTGGGTCATGGTAACAATCTATTACTGGATAGACTTAAAAAAAAAAAGTATAATACCAAATAACTGGGGGGGCAGGGCAGAAAAACAACTTAGGTTTGTATGTTTCTACCTTCTGTGAAGAGGTGTGTGTGGTAATGTTCCCTGTGTACTGCTGCAGGAACACCACCCTTTCTGGGCTAGTGAATGGGGTGGCTGAACTCATCAACTTCGTGGGACGGATTTCTGCTGCTGCACTGCACTTGGAGAAGAGTCACACCTTCTTGCTGTACTTCATCCTGGATTTCTATGAGACTGTATGTGTTCCCTCTGCTTTGCTCTTCAAAATGAGGCCGTTTGCTTTATTTTTTTTTTTTCTGGCTGAAATATGAAGTCACCTTCCCAAATATGGTTTGCTCAACTGTGATTAATTGCCAGAATGTTCTTTAGATGTTCCCTTATCGTTTTTCTCCCAGCACTGAACAGTGTTAAATCCACTCTCTAGCTTCCCTGCATCTTCTCTGTAGATATTCACTGCCTGAACTCAGCCATGCTATTATTGCTCTTACAACCTGGATGCCATTGCAGAGAGCTGAGGGAGCAATGACAGGGCTGGGAACTTTCCTCGTAACTAAAATGTTCATTAAACATGCAAAACAAACTGTTTTAGAGGGGTCGAAGCAAATGCTACCCAACAAGCAACCAAATACCACCATTATGGGATACTTCAATGGTTGAAACAGAGATGGGAGCTGAGAGTGGATAAAAGCCTTGTACCTAGAGGAAACAAATAGAAAGCTGGAGTGAGACAATTCCTCCTAGATCAAGTTGATGGAGCTGGCTAGAGTGCAGCACCGTGCTCTCTTTTGCTCCTGGATGTTTGAGGGTTTGTTAATGGCAGCAATAATCTGCTGAGATCTGCTGGTTTCCTGCAGGTGTGTGACATATATCTGAAGTACAAACTGCCGTTGCTGATAATGCCTCCTGCTGGAGTTTTCTACCCAGCGTTGCTCAGCATGGATTCTGTCAACTTAAATCAGCTCTGCTACATCATGTACAGGTACTGCAAATGGTGGGGGCTGTAGGGTTTTCTCTTGGTGTCTTTTTTGAGTTTTTGAAAATGAAATTATTTGGGTCTATAAATCTGCAATTGAAATCTATGCTCTTTCTCCTTACATGAGGCAAAGATGAAATGTTGTGTCCAGCTTTCATGGTAAAACATTTTACAGCTTTAACTTGCATTCTGTTCCCCGCTCTGTTATCCTAAATGGCAGCATTCTGACCTTTCCTAGTGTTATCACTAACGTGTGAAGGAAGGAGTTTGGTATAATTCTGAGAGGATTTATGTTGCCTAGCAACAAAGAGCTTGCAATCATTAGCAGTTAAGCATTAAACTTCTTAGTCCTGTGCTCAGGCCAGCAGATTGGGGTTTTTCCTTGCAAATACTGTGCTGAGTAGGAAGCACTTCTGCCACCCTGAAAATGTGTGGCAAATTTGGGCCTGCCTCGTGCCTACAGGTCTCACAGAAGCACTGCTTAGCTCTGCAGGATCCACTCCTACTGGTTTTGGCCCTGTTAATTCCAGTGGCTGCATCTGAGAAGAGGAGTAGCCGCCTGCTGACAGCTGGCGTAGGGCTCTCCATGTGGCTCTTTTCTCTGAGGAGTCTGCGGGGTAATTAACGTGACAGGATGCTCTCTGGGAAATGAGGGGAGCTCGTGCTCATTATATGGAACAACTGTCAAGTTGTGTTACTTCCAGTGACTTCCGTTTCTCTGCTCAGTGAATGAAAGTCTCTCATCTTAAAGATACACTGCATTTTTCTGCTCGTTTCAAGACTGTGCTGATTCTTGTGTTTGGGCTTTCTGAAAGCTCGTCTCTGGCAAGCTCAGCTGTGTGTTACTCATCCAGGACACGAACCTGATCAGATTCATCCTTGCTCCCTCAGGGAAAACAGTCTATACCAACTGATCAAGTCCCTTTGATTTTTATTTTCTTCCTTCTCTTTTGATCAGAAGAGGAAAACTTGGTGGTCTCTTGTAGTAAGAAAACCTTCCTTCACTCTGTGTAAACACTTTTCTCCAGCGTTTTTCTCAGCACTGATAAATGTCACTAGAACTTACCAACTCTCTTGTTATTTTGTTTTAGGTACAGAGCCAACTTGATAGCTGCAAAAGAGAACGAGCTGAGTAAAAAGGTATCTGTTGAGTTCTAGGATGGACCTTGGTGAGGAACTGGGCTCAATAGGAGGAAGGCATTTTGATAGTGATCTTAAGGACTGCAGGGAATGTGCAGCTGCTCAAAGATTCTTGTTGTGGTTTGACCTGGTAGGCAGCTGAGCAGCCATTCATTCACTCACCCCAACCCTCCCAGTGGGACAGGGAGAGAACTGGGAGGGGGCAAGAAGTGGAATTTTACAGGAGAGATGATAGAAACTATTTGCAAAGACAGAAAAGGCACAGAAATAACAGTAATGATTTTATGTATTTACATATCTTCTGTACAGCCAGCTACTTTCCACTTGCTGAGTGACAGCCAGTCTCAGCAGCACCAGGCTTCTTTCAATGCCACCTCTCCTCCTCTCCTCCCCCCCTCCAGCCAATTCACCCCATGTGTCAAATGATGGCCAACTCACATGATGTCATGTGGTGTGAAGTATCCTTTCTGGCCAGTTTGGCTCAGCTGTCCTGGCTCTGTCCCATCCCATCCAGCTCCTGTACCTCCTTGGTAGGCACAACACAAGAAGCTGAAACATTCTTGGCTCCACACAGTATTGCTCAGCAGCAACTAAAAGATCAGTATGTTACTGACACTGTTCTGAAGCCAAGATGTAGCATCATGCCAGAAGAAAATCAGCTCTGTCCCAACTGAAACCAGGACGAGGTGTTTTTGACTGTTTTTTTTCTTGTCCCTTAGAAAACACAGCAATTCAAGTTCAGTAGCCAGACATATCAGGAGTATAACCAGTACATCACAGCCATGGTGGGTTGTCTGTGGACATCCAATGCGTTCCAGAAGGATAATCATCCTCAGGGCATTTGTCTGGATGATGAATTGCTGAAGAAAACTGGAGTGCAAGAATACAAAAACAGCTTCAATATTGTCTACCACCCAGCCCTGATGTGCTATGCTGTTGACTTCCTGCAGCAGGTAATGTTGTAGGTGAATGCCTCAGCCTTTGGCAGCACAATAGTGCAGTGATCTTTTCTCTGAGGAAGTCCCTCAGTGTTGGCTGAGTAGAAACAGCTCGATGTTGATTTGTGCATGGCTTAAAATTCTAGACTCCCAGAAATGCACAGTTCAGTTGTTTGGGTACTCACAGCAGAACTTGTAGCTGTGCTTTCTGCCTTTGGCTTTGCCTTTTGAGAATGGCCTGAACAAATACATGTAGCTGCTTCAGAGTACAGGATGAATCATGATGTACTCTAACATCAGTGCAAGTTCTGGTAGCTGAATCCCAAATGCCCTCACGTTCCTGCTGTTAACGAACAGTGGGGGAGCAGCTTGCCAGAGTTGTGGCTGTTTGAGAGGTGCACGCTGCTCTCAGAGATGAGGCTTTGCAGGCCATCCAGGAGGTGCACAAAGCTGCTGTTTTGTTGCAAGGATTGCTGGCAGACTGCAAGCATGCTCCTGGAGTGAGACACAGCAACCCGTAGGTTAAATATGCACTGAGGAATACTGGTTAGGTAGACGAAAAATTGCCTTGCCTTACGTGCTTAGTGTCTTGAACCTGGGTACTTTGTTACTGCTGGCTTAAACCCGAGTTTTCCCTTGGCCAGATGAAATTTTAATACAGGTTGATGAAACTATCTTTGGTCTTTCTCCTGCCATAGCAGAACTAGTATTTCTTTCTTTTTTTTTTATCTTGGTCTTTTTTCCTTGCAGCTTTTGTAAGCTTTAAAAAAGCCCAACAACGTAACTCTGAAGAACTCTTCCATTCTCACTGCAATGCCGAGACGAGAAGCAGCTTTTAGGGCAGAGCTCAGCTCTGCGGCGCTGCAGTTCTGAACGCCAGGGGGCGCTGCTCTGCAGCACGCTGTGAGAGCGCGAGCGCTGAGCTGGGTGCCGGTGCGGTGTCTCTGCCTGCTTTGTCTCATTGAGGGCAGTTATTTATCGACTGTTCATGGAAATCATAGAATCCCCGAGGTTGGAGAAGGCCTCTAAGGTCACCCAGTGCGGCTGTTTTGCAGGGATGCCTTTTATGCTGTGAGGGTGAAGTTGCTAAAGGCACTGATGTGTGTCTCTGTGACCCAGCAGTGCTGCAGCATGAGTGTCCTGCCTTGCCACTTGTGGGCTTGGCCAGGTGTAATGCTGGAAGCTCGTTCCAAAAGATAATTCGGTGTCTCTGACTTTGCATACCTAGAATTCCTGATTTATGAGGGGAGCAGGCAGTGGCCTGGCCGTGCTGGATGTTCTTTTGCTATACATACTTGACCCTGTTCTGATGCTGTTTCTTAATTTCTCTCCTTAAGGTCTGGCCAGATGATACCACCTTCAACTTCAATCTAATTAAGGTAAAATACCTGTTTTCACAAAAACGAGGGAACTTTTAGCAACTACTTAATAGGGAATACAGGGGAGTGGGGTGGGGGAAGGAGAAGCTGATCTGCTTCAGAAATGCTGTACTTCTGGTGTGCTTGAAGCAGAACTTCTGTTACCAATGAACCTACAGAATATGAAATTTGAGATGAATGTGTACCTCTGTACACTCATGGCACTTTGTTTCCTTTCCTGTGTCATGGTGTGCTTCAAACCTGATCTGAGAGAATCACCCTGTTAGTGAAGGAAGACTTCAAAATCCATGTGAATTTGGTCTTTCACATCTTTGCTGTTGATCCTACAGATGTTGCTCTCTTAGAATTGGGGTTTATTAACATTATGAACATCTTGTGTATTAAATAAGATTTTTTTTATGTTCAAGCTAAGAACATGAAATATGTAAGTGAAAAGTCCAGGCATCTGGGTACAGGGTGAGACCCATGTACACCTGTTGAGTGTTTATGGGCCAAGATGGTTGTTGTCAAACTGTGGCAGGCTAAATTTGTGTGCTTCTTCAGATTGGCTTAAAAAAGCCAAAGCTGTGTGCTGCACAGCTGACTGCTCTGTTCTGCTTTTTCAGGGGAAGAAGTGGAACTGGTACCTGAGGTATCTCTATGGGCAAGGTTTAGAGGGCCTGAAGCTCTTCATTGAAAGCAGCATCAATCGTGTTTCCAAAGCCTCTCAAAGTAAACCAGAGGATGAGAAAGTGTGACTCTAGGACTTGTTGGAGCCTTTCTGTCATCTGGAATAGGGAAACAGACCATTAGCAGACTGTGTCAGTAATTCTTGTTTCCTCAGAGGAAAGAAACAGAGCAATTATGCTTGCCTGCATTTTTGTGCTGGCATCTGTGTTAGGAAAGCAGAAATAGAGAAGGAACATCTCGGCTGTTTTGGTTCACCAGCACTGAACCCCCTTATTTCCTGCTGACCTTCTTTAGCCTGAGGCTGCTGAGCTGCTGTGATCTGTAACATCCCTGGTTTTCATCCTCGCTTTTCTATGTTGGAATATCTGAGGGGGGAAAACATTTTCCATCTCAAAGCTGCATTGAGAAGTGCTGCCTCATGTAGAAGGCGTGTTGATACGACCTTCCTCTTCCTTCCCTGACAACTTGCACAGTACTCTGGACAGCTGATTTAATGCTGGACTGGAGGGCTGCGTGTTTCCCAGCTCCGTGCTGTGCCATGTACTTGCTGCCTCATAACAGGAGAGCCAGGCTGACCCTCCTGAACTTCACTTCTATGAGTCTTCCAGAAGAGACTGTGATACCTTTGCTTATAATGTAATGCAGTTGAAGAGCTTTGTGCACCGCTGGTTTACTGGTGACCTTCAACAGCTGAACAGCATTGCCACTGGCTCACCGTTTCCTACTGATAAGCTTCCCTTCTTGTGTTTCTAGTTCTATAATGTATATTTAAATCTGTGTGTGTATAATGTATATTCTGTAAAAATACTTCAAAAAGGCCATTTTGAAGGATCTCTTCTTTAATAAAAAAAAAAAAGCATCCTCTACTTTCTTTTAACACTAAGAATTCAGATGAAGCTGACCTGAGGTCTCCAATTATCTCGCATTAATGTGGTTGTAAATGCTCAGAAGGTGAGTGCCAGTGACTTCCTTTCAGTGGGGGAAGATGCCTGTGTTCTGAAAGGTGTCTCTAAATGTTTTTAAAAATGCTAGTAGCAAAATGCTGTGTGATCCACTGAACACTGTAGTTATTCATCCTTGAGATCCATTTTCTCTTAACCTTTGTAGGTGTTTTATTCAGAAACAACAGAATTGTGTTAGGAAGGCATTGTGGCACCACCAGTCCTATTTTGTGCTGAGTCTTTGAACAAACTGTGTACAGTTGTGTTGTTCAGGTGCATGGGATGGACTCTTGTAGGTCATCTTTCACATCTGGACACTTTTTTTTTTCCTCTTCAGATGTGACTCTTTCCTCTATGACCTCTGCTTACATGGAAGAATCCTGTGGGAGAATGGGCCCAGCAAAAAAGTGCTGCTCTCTTTATTTTTTCCAGCTTTTACTGTCCATCATGGTGCATTTTGTGGACAACTTTCTATTACAAGCATATCCTCAAAAGTTTGGCTGCCCACAGCATCTGCTCGAGGACTGAAACAAAGGGAGTCAAGCTGCAAGTTTCCTCATAAGTTAGGAAAGAAATCAGTGATTTGTCTCTAACAAATCTCTAATTTGGCCCTTCTCTGCCAGTCGTCGTGCTTCTGCCTTGTGTGCTCTGGGGGACGATAACAGCAACTCCTGTTTCCTGATAGGAAGAATGAGGGCTGAGCAGTTCTTTCCATCCTCTTCACCTTTCTAACAGCTCGGTGAGTTGCTCCCAAAACACCTGGTTCCCAGAACCCAAGCCCTTCACCTTTGAGGCACAGTGCCAGGCATTATGCAGCCAGATGTGGGTGGCTGAATTCCTTTTGTGGAGCCTCATCTGCTTTGTGTTTGTATTAATCAAGGTTTGTAGGGAGATGAGCATTTGCACATCTTTCATAGTCAGCTTGCTATGAAGGAGTTAATGATTTCAACCTGTTTTCAGCTGGAATGAGGAAACTGATTCCTCTGTGTCCCTGCTTTCTATTCTCTTGCTGGCCTACTTCCCTCTGCTTGCATTTTGCATTCCTAATGCCATGAATAAATCAGGACCCAAGGATTTAGAAGGTGGTACAGCTGGAGCCACTCAGAAAATTGAACCTCTGAGGCTTGCACTGCAGCTCTAACAACTGCCAGCATGTGTGTTCTGAGCACTTTAATAACATTTAACTGGTACCACAAATAAAACTCACCTCTGTGCAGTTTTCACTAACGTTTGTGTGCTGGTGCCTCTACCCCATGTCTCCTCACTTTGCTTCCTTTGCCTTTGAGTTGAAGCTGAGCTGGAAGCCCTCCAGGCAAAGCAGTCACCTCCTGATCACTGTGGTTTATCACCAATTTTTGCAGCAAGGAGAAGAGAATAAGGGAAACTGAGGACTGTGACCCTGCTGAGAGTTCATCTCCAACTGTGTTGAAGGTTCTGCAGAGAGCTCCTCTCCCTGGCTGTGGTCCTGGATCCTCTGATAGCTTGTTATTAATAATGCATGTTGACCTGCTTTTCTTTGTAGCTCTGTGGCTCCTGGGGGAGAGTGTGTGAGGAGCTCTGTGGGCTCTTCAGGCAGAGGATGCTTCAGCCTGGGAGAACAACAGGTATTGGAAACAAGCTTGCTCTGGAGGATGAGTATCTTGAAAGAACCAAGTCTCCAAATACCAACTTCTAGGAAAGACGTCCCTCATCATGGCTCTGATCTTTAGAACAGCCATGATTTGTTCTGATCAAATGGTGTGTTTGGTTGAGGAGGTCGCTCAGGTGTGTGGGCAGGTGGCACTGGGCTCTGGAGCCCTGAGATCTGCACCCAGCTGTCAGAGCTGTGCCACAACTCCCAGCTTCCTGCCATGGCTGGGGCAGGCACTGAAGTACCTGAGCAGTGCTGGTGGTTTCAGCGAAACGCTGATTTGTGAATTTGTGATGCTGCCTTATTCCTGTTCTTGGTTTTGTGTTCTATGTGAGGAAAAGATTCCCGCAGCAAAGGTCTTTTCTTTTAAGCCTTGATAAATTTGCTGTCAGTTTGCTTGCCTTCCGGGCTCACTGCAAACACATCAGCTGAGATGGTCCTCAAACAAAGCAGTGGGTACCTTCCACAGCCTCAAAATACGATTCTGCCCCTGACAGCATTAGAAATCTGGATGCTCAGATGGGATGCTGTTCTGCTGCTTAATGAATCGACCCCATCAGCCCGCAGTGGGTGCCTTTGGAGGTGTGGCTCAGAGCAGCGTTAGTGCTGTGTAGGAGGTGGGGAGCAAAGGTGCAGTTATGTGGTGCAGTTCCTGAGCCCCAGGCACTGGGTTTGGACAAAAAGGTGAATATCTGATTGTCTAATGCATTTGGGCTCTTCCTTTAAGGAATACAGCAGTGAACTGCTTGCCTGTGTGTCTTACCTGTCAGCCCTGAACGCCTGCTCTCCAGGAATAGCTTTCTCCTTGCAGCTTCATCCCAGCCCTCTTCACACATCCCGTGCCATCCCCGCTCCTGCTGCCTGCACATGGATCACTAAGCAGTTTCCTTTCTCTTAGGGCACCTCTGTTCTGTGTCAAAGTGAATTTCAGCAGCCCCTGCCTGATTACCTTCCTGCCTCTGTGTGCAGAGCCCAGGGAGCAGGGAGGGATTGGAGAGCACGTCACAAGTGTGGTGACAGCCTCTGAAGAACAACAACAAAAAGCCCCTGAAAGGGGCCTGTCTGCCTTTTCTCTGTCACGTTTTTACTTTATCTAGCCCTATCTCCCTTCTGCTGCTTTTTTCCTCTCTCGCATCCTTTTCCCCTGTTTGCTCGCTGCTCTGAACAGATTTCCTCCCTCCTCCTTTCTTGTTCCCAGGCAGAGCTGCTCCAGTGCTGCTGCAGGAACAAACACAGAGGGGTCTGCTCTGCTCCATGCTGCCTGCCTGCACAGCTCCCCCCCCTTCTCTCACCCCAGGTATCACGCTTTTAGAAACCCTCCTGCTGCTTTCCTAAATACTTCAGACAGCGTGGGATCTGTGCTTGGGAGATCTGGGTGTTTATGGATGCTCACAGAGGAGTCAGTTATTTACTTGACATCGTTTTCTTTATGCAGATGGAGGAACAGCAGGGATTGATGTCTGGGCAACCATTCTTACGTTTGTCTCAAGCTGAACGTGGGGCTCCTGATTTGGGGTTTATTTCTTCTCATTGCAATAAGGCCCTTTGTGTTCCCTTTACCTCTCTGATGTCTGGGAATGGAGCAGCTCTGTCCCTTAGTGTGAGGTCCATCCCTTCTGGCTCTCTGAAGGTGGACACTGCGTGACCACTCCAATCAATGATCCCACATCAAAAAAGCATTGCTGTCAGTTTGGTATGGACTCCTGTGGTCCCTATTCCAGAATTCAGTCCCTTCTGTTGATTCAGGTAGGTGGAGACCCAGAGGATGGAGCTTCCATCTCAGCAAAGCACAGGGTTTGGTGGCACTTGGGAAGAAACAGCATTTCTTTAGGCTGTAAGATGTTTCCCCTGTTTGCAGGCTTTCACAGAACCATAGAACGGTTGGAGTTGGTGCCCAAATCTGCGCACACTGTTTCTCCATCTTTCTTATATCCTATGCTCATCCTTTTTTCTGTGGGCAGAGAGATGGTGAGAGTGATTGCTTTGAACTAGCTCAGCACCTGTTCTGCTGAAGATGGGGCTGTTAGGTCTGCGGTTACTGCTTAGGTTGCTTGGTGCTACCAGGCACTTTGTGTTATGGAAGGTCCCAACTCCAGAGCAATTTGGCCAAATTAATATTGATTTTGAATAAAGGACGAGCAGTAAAGATTTTGGGGTTGTACCAAACACAGCTTCCATTTCCAGCTTTAAAATGATTCAAACTACGAACAGCATTCATAGACCCCGTACAGCCATTGTCACATTTGCATTCATGGTGTCCTTTACTCCGTGTTCAGTCAGTGTGAGTGGTTCCAACTTCACCCAGGAGCATCGAACTCTGTTTCAATGATTTAAATTGATTTCTGCTCCACTCTTTAAGACTGAGGATTACTGGTGTAAATCAGAACTAATTGCACTTCTGGGTCACGTCTTATGAACCCCATCTGGATTTGGTCTGTCGTATGTCTGTGTTCCCTTTAGCATTGTGCATGTTGGGATGTCCCTGTGGGGCCAATGGGGATTGCTAGTTCTGTTACTCAGATGAACCTTTGCTGATTAGTAAAGCACGATCAACCAAGGCATGGAAAGACGTGTGTTGGTGGATGGTGGGTTCCTGGAGCTCCACAGGAGGCGATGTTGGCGTTATCTTCAGAACTGGAAGCACATCAAATCCAGCACTTCTTCTCACAGGCTTTCCCATACGCTTCACATGGTGGCAGCAATCACGTGAAGGGCCGTGTTTATGGCAGATCAGCGCGTGTCTCCCTGATTCCCTTTGAGTCCTGACTTGCCAGGCTGTTTGTCCTAATTATGTCCTCCCAGCACAAGGTACCGGGGCCCTGGGACGATGCTCCCAGCCGTGCAGGCAAGTCATCCACCAGAGATTCTGGTTTGTCTAAGAACTTAAGCAAAGCTGACACGAGAGATTATTTCCTGCCTGCGTCCTCCTGTTCCTAAACTGTGTGTTTTGCTGCATCCTAAATTATTGATCATGCAGGGGCATGTACTGCAAAGTGCCTTATTTTTGCCATTCCTGCTGTCTGCTCGTGTCTGTGTGCTGATGTCCATCTCCTGTGCATGTGTAACTCGGCTTGATACGTCCTTGCTTTGTTCGTGCACGTTGTCATGTTCCTTACAGTGTTGGTGACAGATGCACTTTGATCTGCTCACATCCCTCTGTGCAGTGGTGGGATGGGGACCGCTGGGCAGCCCAGAGAAGGGCCTGGGTTGCAAAGGAGCACAATGCTCATCCAGTTCCAAGC